GACCATCTTGGTTCTTTTCTCACATGAGTATTCATAGTCTGAGCTGCCAACCCAATACCCACACAGAGATGCTTAAGGTCAGGGTTAACTGAGATTTGCTCCTGCTAATAAGGATCATTTCTGGTGAGTGTAACTTCTGGAAATTTCATGGAATTCATCCAACATTTATGTAGCAACTGCTAAGTGCTAGTGACTATGTGATGATGCACTGCAAATATAACCCTATATATTTGCTCCCTAATTATGATTAGCTTAAGTAGGCTGGGAAACATAAGCAAAGAAAAATTGTCATAATCACATTTATAAACATTATAAGAATCTCAAGGAATTCAATGAGGCCTCAGGTTTAATATTGAATTCTACTTGGTTTAACAGGTACGCTCAGGAGACTTTTTAAAGGAGAACAATGTTAACTGTGTTGAAAGATAATTAAATATTTGCCAAGCAAAAGAAGAGTGTTTCTAGTAGAAATTTTAGATGGAAAGAATATTATGATTTAAAAAAAAATGTTTTAACTGAGCACAGTGTAGCAATATGATTGGTGCATTAAGAGTAATCTAATCAATTCTACACTGGTGAAGTATGTGTTTGTAGTCCTGGTGTGGCGCTTTGGATACGCACTGGACTGCTAACCATCCATAAGGTCAGTGGTATAAACCCACATTTTGCTACTCAAAAACACTTGTCTGGTTCTCTATGAGTCAGAAACAATGAGACAGCACGTAACAACAACAACCACAAAGCGTGTGTTTGAGAAAATCAAAATGGGGGCCAAAACTGGAAATGAAGTCAGGGAACATATTGTATGAGATATTGTTTATGATCCTAAGCTGGCTAATTAATATCATAATCAAAAGTGGAACTTGATATTATCCTGACAACAGAATAGAGGTTAGAGGGGAAGTACACTGAAAACATAAGATATAAAAAGCCAAAGATGATAAAAAGGTGAACTAATGGAGAAGTGGGACAACAGGAGGTAATAATTACAAGAGACTATGAACAGATAAAAGCTTGAAATGAATTATTTAAAGCAGAGAACAGTGGCAGGGAAATGGTTAGGAGAAGAGTTACGTTCTGAGGGGACAGATTTACTTGGAGGTGGTTGTGTGTCAACCATGCAAGTGGATATGAGGAGTTAGGACTCAGAAGATCTATGGATGTGCTTGAAACACCCTCATCTGTAAATGGATGAGTAAATCATATGGAAAATCAGCTAACCTGTCTCTGTTAAATAGCCATGACAAAAATATTTTTAGTTAACAGAAAAGAACATTTCAAGGACAGAGTTTTGAATACCATCACATTTATTTAGTAGGCAGAGAGAACTTAACTGAAGAGAATGAGAAAGGACATCCATAGAGGGAGTGAACCAGCCCTGAGGAGTATCATAGACCTGGGAAACAGATGTTATAGAAGAAAAAACTGAAGAGGAGCGTCTTTTACTGAAGAAAGAATATTTACAATAGTAATAGAGCACATTGAGTTATTGTTGGGATGGTCACTTGAGGATTGGCTGGAACTGTTAGGAAAGACTCATTGGGGGCATAAAACCAGTTGCAATCAACCCAGTCTGACTCATAGAGACCCTACAGAGCAGAGCTGTTGTTGTTGTTGTTAAGTGCAGTTGAGTCAGGTACAACACATAGCAACCCTGTATAGGGTTTTCGAGGAGTAGCTAGTGAGTTTGACCTGCCAGCCTTGTCCAGTGCTGATCCTACAGCACCACCGTAGAAGTGCCCTACAGCATTTCCAAAGTTGAAGACTGTTACAGAAGCAGATAGCTACATGTTTCTCCTGCAGAGTACCTAGTGGGTTCTAGCCGCTGGCCTTTAGGTTAACCACCACACCACCAGGGCTCCTGGAGACAATTGTCTTGGGATGAATATAAGGAAAAAGCAGCAACATCTAATGGAGTAACTCAGAATTGCTTGGTAACTACTTTTCTGTATACAATTGAAATCAATTGTGTATATACTATAAAATAAAATCTTTACTTAGTGCTTAAATGGTACATGGTAAGAATGTTTAAAAGAGAGGTTTAAGTTCATGAAGGCATCTTAGAAGAAATATCTGGCCATTTGTTTCTGAAAAATCAGCTATAAAAAACCCTATGATGCACAGTTCTGGGATCTCCATGAGTTGGAACGGACAAGAGAGCAACTGGTATTGATTTGGGGCTTTGGATCTTAGGTACCATTTTCGAAGATAGAGGAATGGACAGAGTCGATGAAGGCATTATCTTTACAGAAACACAGTGAATACTATATTGACTTTTCAACAAATTCACAGATTTTTAAATAAGAAGCAAATTCAGCAAAATAACTTAGATATACATACTCTATGATCCTACAATGTTCTCACTGTTGTTAAGTGCAGTTGAGTCAGTTCCAACTCACAGCAGCCCTGTATAAGGTTTTGTGGTTGTTGTTGTTAAGTGCCGTTGAGTCGGTTGCAACACATAGCGACCCTGTATAGAGTTTCTGATGAGCCACTGGTGAGGCTTGAACCACCAGCCTTGCATTTCAAACTGACCTTCTGAGACTGCAAATCTTTGGTAGAGAAGAAAGCATCATCTTTCTTCAGCAGAGCTTACCTTGTGGTTTGAAGTAGAGTGCATATTCTATAGAGAAACCAAGCTCTTCTGATTCTATAATATTGCTGATGTTGTTAATGTTGAGTAAATTCTGACTCATAGCAATCCTGTATAGGGTTTCCCAGGAGTGACTGGTGAGTTTGAACCTCCAACCTTGTGTTTATCAGTACATGCTTATCCTACAGAGCCACACCAGGACACTAAGAGTTCAGTTAAAATAAAATGGAAAAAGTAACATCCACTAACTTCTCTAACAATAATAGCATCCCTAACAATAATTTTCCATCTGTTACAAAGTTTGTTGTTGTTGTTTATTTGGTTTAATTTAAGGAACTGTACCCACTCTCTAATTATTTCAAGTCCTAGAGAATAGGAGTATTGTTTTGTTTTGTTTTCTTGTTTACTCCACCACCTAGCATTCTGACTATTACAAAGTAGGAATTCAACATATTTTAGAAAATGTCATTATTTGCTAAAAATTAATTTGATTGAAACTGTCCAATCCAAAGTTACATCAACTGTCTTGAAATTTAAATGATATTTTCTAAAGACAACACATTATCAGTTAGCTCCAGTTTATTCCGAAAAGTTCTAATCCAAACATATGATACCTGGCATCAATGGCATCTACCTGTTACAATTTTTACACTTTTTCATCTAAGTAAGTCACTCCAACCAAATTTCAGCTTTCAGAAATATTAAGAGACCGTCAGTGGCAAGGAATATGATTATGCTCCATGCTAAAACCTACCTAGGTTTTCAACTGAGGAATCCTGATGTAGTGTTGTAGGATAAACTCTGGACTGCTAAATGCAAGTCAGCAGTTCAAACCCACCAGGCATTCCATGGGTGAAAGATAAAACTTTATGCTCCAGTAAAGATTTATAGCCTCAGAAGCTACTGTTTAGGTTTTTTGTTTATGTATTTCTTTCTGAGGTTTACATCTGTTCTGATCTTGTATACCTTTAAAAGGTAGTTAACAAAGATTTCTTATAGCTGGTGAGCAAATGAAGCTTTAGCATAATACCAAGGAATATTTCACCAGTACAATACATAATATTCTTTTTTAACCCAGTTGCCTCTAAGTCAATGTCAACTCATGACGACCTCTTGTGTAAAATTCAATCCGTAGAGTTTTTGAAAGCGTATCACCAAGCCTGTCTTCCCAGGTGCCTCTAAGTATGTTCAAAATGCCAAAATTTCATTTAGTATGGAACACTTAACTCTTAGCCCAACCCAGGGACTGCAGTGTAATACTACGCTTACACAAGGAGACTTGGGGTGGATCTGTAGGATAAGCACTGAACTGCTAATCACTGAGTCAGTGGTTCAAACTCACCAGCCACTCCCTGGAAACCCTAAATAGGTCACTATAAATCAGAACCAACTCAATGGTAATTAACTACTACTACATATGGATTCCTGGTATGGCACTGTAAGATAAACACTCCACTACAAGGTCAGTTTGAACCACAAGGTCAGTGGCTCAAATTCACCAGGTGCTCCTCAGGAAACCCTATACAGGGTTGCTATGAGTCAGAACTGACTCGATGGCACTAAACAACAAAAAAAACTACACATATAGATTTCTGGTGTGGCGCTGAAGGATCAGCACTGGACTGCGAGTCACAAGGCAAGCAGTTCAAATCCACCAGCTACTCCTCGGAAACCCAATACAGGGTTGTTATGAGTTGGAACTGACTTCACAGTCCTTAACAACAATAACTGCTACACATAAAAAAATCATACTTATGTATAGTTGTTGCTGTTGTTAAGTGCTGTCGAGTCAGTTCCGACCAATAGTGATCCAATATAGGGTTTCCGAGGAGCGACTGGTGAGCTTGGACTGTTAAACTTGCATTTCAATCTAACTTTGCAGTCTAGCATATTAACCCACAATGCCACACCAGGACTCCTACGTATAATAGCATTAGATAATAATGCTTTATCAGAATCATTTCCATTGAACTACTTGAGAGTAAAGACTTCATCATCTCTGCCAATTTCTCCATCTTTAACAATCAAAATTATCATAAAAAATTATGTTTTTTTCCCAACCTATACAAAGTTATTGAATGGTTAATACTCAACTACTATCTAAAAGTTTGGCAGTTTGAATCCACTCAGATGTGCCTGGAAAGATAAATGTAGCAATCTGTTTCTGAAAGGTCACTGCCTTGAACATCTTATGAAGCAGTCCCACTCTACACATGGTGTTGCTATGAGCCAGAATCGATTTGACAGCAATAAACAAAAACAATGTGTCTGAATAATGGTTAAATAATTTTCTGAATTTAATCCTGAGGACACTGAGTTACTCAACTTATAGACGTATTAAGAATCATATATTCTTTCCCTACAATTCTTTGGCTTCCTAAACAGAATCATACCTGTTATCTTCAAAATGACCAAGGCCAACTTAACATCAATGAGTGGCTTCTTCCTCATGGGGTTTTCTGATGACCGTAAGTTTCAGATTTTACATGCACTGCTGTTTCTGGTGACGTACCTGCTGGCCCTGACAGGCAACTTCCTCATTATCATTATCATTACGCTGGACCATCATCTTCACTCTCCCATGTATTACTTCTTAAAGCACCTTTCCCTTCTGGACTTATGCTTCATCTCTGTCACAGTTCCCCAGTTCATTGCAAACTCACTTACAAACAATGGTTACATTTCCTTTGGTCAGTGCATACTTCAAGTTTTCTTTTTCATAGCTCTGGCCTCATCAGAAGTAGCCATCCTCACAGTGATGTCTTATGACCGGTACGTGGCCATCTGTCAACCACTTCACTATGAGACCATTATGTATCCCAGAGCTTGTAGGCGTGCAGTGATAGCTGTGTGGATTGCTGGGGGCATTTCTGGACTCACACACACAGCTGTGAATTTCTCCATACCTCTCTGTGGGGACCGAGTCATACATCAGTTCTTCTGTGATATTCCTCAGATGCTGAAACTTTCCTGCTCTTATGATTTCATTAATGGAACTGCGGTGGCTGCAGTCACAACTTCAACTGCATTTATCTGCTTGATTTCCATTGTGCTCTCCTACATCCACATCTTCTCCACAGTCCTGAGGATCCCATCAGCTGAGGGACGGACCAAAGTCTTCTCCACCTGCCTACCTCATTTATTTGTAGTCACATTCTTCCTCTCAGCGGCAGGCTTTGAGTTTCTAAGGCCACCCTCAGATTCTCTATCTGCTACGGACCTCATGTTCTCCATATTCTATGCTGTTATACCTCCTACACTCAACCCAGCCATTTATAGTTTACGCAATGAAGCCATGAAGGCAGCTCTGAGGAAGGTGTTGTCCAAAGAAGAACTTGCCCAGAGAAAGATGGATTTAAAAGCCATTTTTAAACTCTAAAGAATCATATTTAAAAAAAAAAAAAAGGTATTGATATTATGTTTTAGATTTTAAACAGATTGGAGTTAATCTCATATCTTCCCAGGACTCTCTTTCAATTTTTCTCAAATTTTTCAAAATTAAAGATTTTATGCTCTTAAGGATGTAGAACTTTTTCTACCTCCAATTAAAATGTATTTTTAAGGCATATTTTGGGAATTTTCTGAAATAAAAGGGAAATCACAATTAACTTGTGGGCTGATCAGCATAAAGTTTCTACAAATACCTTCCAGATTGCTGTGAGCTAAGGATGATTGTGTTAATTTCTGAGTATATCCATAATACTTGCATGTGATTTCTAGTGGGTCTCCTACTTTCCCATCTATATTGTTTCCTTGCCTATTGAATATTATTATGGGTATTTCTATCATTGATTCAGTCCCTATTGAATCTCAAGTGTGTTATACAAATGTTATTTAGAAAAAACTCCTCTTACTGTGCCACAGTGTCTCTAAATTACCAATGAGGACACAAAATTTAGGAAAGATGAATTTTTTAAAAATTGGTAAGTTGTGATTCAAACTAATATTTGTCTGACTCAAAGCCCATTTATTTACTTCTACACATTGCGATCTGTTTTGGATGAAGTGCAACCAGAGTGCTCCTTGGAGGCCAAGATGGCTAGGCTTC